CAGCCTCACTTCAGTTCTTGGAAAAATCATGAAGCAGATCCCCAAGGAATCTATTCCTAAGCACTTTGAGTAGAAGAAGGTGATTAGGAGCTGTCAGCATGGATTCACCAAGCACAAGTTATGCCTGACCAACCTGATTGCCTTCTATGAGGAGGTGACTGGCTCTGTGGATGTTGGAAGACTAGTGGATGTGATATACCTTAATTTTAGCAAGCTTTTTGATACAGTCTCCCACAACATTCTTGCAAGCAAGCTAAGGAAGTATGGGTTGGATGAATGGACTGTAAGATGGACAGAAAACTGGCTGGAGCATTGGGCTCAGACAGTAGTAATCAATGGCTTGATGTTTAGTTGGCAGCCAGTATCAAGTAGAGTGCCTCAGAGGTCAGTCCTGGAGCTGGTTTTGTTCAATGTCTTCATCAATGACCTGGAAGATGGCATAGAGTGCACTTTCGGCAAGTTGGCAGATGACACCAAGCTGCGGGGAGTAGTAGATATGCTGGAGGGCAGGGCTAGGATTGACAGTGACTTAGACAAATTGGAGGACTGGGCCAAAAGAAATCGCATGAGGTTGAACAAGGACAAGTGCAAAGTCCTGCACCTAGGACAGAACAATTCCATGCACCAGTACAGATTGTGGGCTGACTGGCTGGGAAGCAGCTCTGCAGAAAAGGACCTGGGAGATATAGTGGACAATAAGCTCAATGTGAGCCAACAGCGTGCCTTTGTTGCAACTATGGGGCAATCAAAGCTTTGTTTCGTGCCTTTGGGCCCGACTACGTAAAGGATGTGGACAAATTGGAGAGAGTCCAGTGGAGGGCAACAAAAATGGTGAGGGATCTGGGGGACATGACTTATGAGGAGAGGCTGAGGGAACTGGACTTGTTTAGTTTAGATAAGAGGGTACTTAGGGGATTTGATAGCAGTTTTTGACTACCTGAAGTGGGGTTTGAAAGAGGATGGAGCTAGATCAGGGATGACAATTATTTTGGGCGCAGGGCCGCTTATTGAGTTTTGGCAAGCCATTGAGGGCTGCATGACAGGCAGCCCAGAGCAGATTAATTTTAATTTTCAAATTGTTTAGGGGCCCCACAGGCCAGATAGAATGGCTTGGTGGGCCGCATCTGGCCTGTGGGCCGCATTTTGCCCACCCCTGAGCTAGACTGTTCTCAGTGGTAGCAGATAACAGAACAAGGAGCAATGGTCTCAAGTTGCAGAAAGGTAAGTTTAGGTTAGATATTAGGAAAAAAATTCTCACTAGGCGGGTAGTAAAACACTGGAATGGGCTACCCAAAGAGGTGGTGGAATCTCTATCCTTGGAGGTTTTTAAGACCTGGCTAGACAAACCTTTGGCTGGTTCTGCTTGGAGCAGGAGGTTGGATTAGATGACCTCCTGAGGTCCTTTACAACCCTAATTTTCTATGATTCCATAATTCAAAGTATGTTATGGATCATGAGGGTTTTTGTTTTAAATATATAATAAATATTTGCCTATCTGCACTTACCTGCTGAGTTCTGAGGCTCTAGTTTGTACTTTAGTCATACCTTCAAGCATTTTTCTGGAAGCTGAAGGGCAGAAACTGACTTTGTAAAGAAACGAAAGTTGAGATTCTTACCTAATCACATGCTTGCTGCAGCTTTAAAAGAAACACCAACTATCAAAAGGCTCAGTACAGCACAATCCCGATACAATGGACTCTACCAAACCTGCTTGATTTATTCTGATATAAGTGACTGAAGAATCAGGCCCAAAATGTATGCACATAAGTAGTCATTGTGCATTATTAAATGCCCCGTCTTGTTCTGTTCCATTGCATAGCTCTTATTAGGTTCCACTGTCCACCCAGTTGCCATAGCACTAGTTACAAAGGCATCCAGAGTGCAGGTACCTTGAAAGAAAAGAAACCTGGAGTGTGTATTTATTTAGGCCTTGTGAAGCTTTTCTTAATGAGATGGTGATTGTGATGGACTGTCTGGTAGGGGTGTGTGAAGTGGGCCCTATTTGATTCAGATTCGGCCCGAATCAGGGACAGTGATTCGACTCGTTGATTCAGATCACTGTCCCTGATTCGATTCAGCTGAATCCGAATCTAAAAATTTGATGCTGATTTGGAGAATCAGTGATTCGGCCATAGACACAGCATTAAATGTTTTTCCTATATACCTCGAGGTACCAGGAGTAGCTTGTGAATGCTGTGATGCTAGGGTGCACGGAGCATCCCACAGGAGTGCCGGGGGCCCCCCACTTGCTCAGTGGCAAACGCAGAAGTGGAACAGAAGTACTTCCAGTCCACTTCCGGGTTCACCAGGGAGCATGCTGGGGGTCCACACTTCCCTGTCTCAGCGATTGGCTGTGGGAGGACCCTGAGGCCCCCCCACCCCAGCAGGCACCAGTTGCCAAGCCAGGGAGATGCAGGGGGGTGCCCCCCTGCATGCTCCCCGGTGGACCTGGAAGTGGACCAGAAGTGCTGCCAAGCATGCTGGGGAGCCCCCCATGCTTCTGTGGGACATTCCATGCATCCCAGCATCGCAGCGTTCACAAACTGTGCCTGGTACCTAGAGGTATGTAGAAAAAACAATTAAAGCTGTCTCTATGTCTGAATCTCTGAATCTTTCCGAATCTCTCCAAATTGATTTGGAGGGTTCCAATTCGATTCAAAGAGATTAAAGGGTCTTCTGATTCGATTCACATTCGGAGATTTGGCCACTAAATTGGGCTGTATCTCCACTGAATTGAATCAGGGAACGAAGCTTCACACAGCCCTACTGTCTGGTCGGTCATCAAAGGGTAAAACATGTGGCTCAGACTCTTTCAAGCAAAGCAAAACATCAGCCTTTTTGCCACATTACATCCCTCTCTACTGTGGCTTGCTGAACACTTGGGTCCCGCTTTGCTACTAAGATATCTCCAGTTTTAATCACTGCTTTTTTTCCAGGCTGTGTCCTGGTAATCTGCTTTGCCTATGTAGAAACAAAGTATATCTCCAGAAGTACATTCTACTTTGCCTTGCAGGGGCACACAGGACCTCAATTCATTTCAATAGGCAGAGATGGATCCTCTGTTGCCCAGGAAGAATTAAGCTCTTCAAGACATCTGCTTAGTTTGAATTTCACTCCCTTCTGATCAGTTAAGACATCTTAGCAGAACTTATGACCAGAGCAGGGAGACATCTGCAGGAGTGATGAACACATCTATCTAAAAGCCAGCACTGACTTCAGTAACAAGGTCTTTCTCTATAAACAGTGTATTAGTTAGAGAATGTGTCCAGGTCATGCAAGACTTGAACCCACATCTCCTTTGTCCTAAGTACTATACTATGGGGCAATCAAAGCTGCAAGCTCTCTCCCTCCTTTTCCCTTGGAGCTGGACAAGTCCCTTCCTTCATGCCAGAGGGTCTTTTTCACTCGCATGAACTTTCTGTCCATGATCCTCCATTTCCTTCCTCCCCCCATGCATAGCCAGGAACCGTTCCTTCCCTGACCCCATACTCTATGCTTTGCCCTTAACCCACCCCAGCATATCCCCCTAATCTGCTGTCAAAGACAGAATACTAGGATAGACAGACAAGGAGTACAAAATTTTGAGTAGTGATTTTGGTTGCTTCTGGAAGTTGGTCACTTAACTTCCTGACTAGATGTGTATCTTTGTAGTATTTCAATATCTAAACTCTTGCTCTCCTAAATGTTTAAACTCAGGAAACCATGAGCAAAATATAAAAATGATGCAATCCTTGCTTTTCTAATGATATTATCATCATTGAAGAACTGAAATGCATACAGAAAAGACAGGCTCTTGTGTTGCTTGGATTATAAGTAGTAGCCTAGATATTGGGGCTGTGCAAGGCTTCAGACCATGCTTCAGATCTGGAGAAGCTTCAGACGCTGAAGTGTCTGAAGCAGCATGTCCAGATCAAAGCACTGGCTTCTTTAGGCTTTCCGAAGTGGTTCAGAACTTCCAAACTGTTTCGGAAAAGCTTCAGAGCAACCTTGGAGATCTGGCCATAGGGTATAGTTGGGGAATCAATGAAATATCTATAACTTTGTTGTTTTTTGTCTGATTTGGATGAAACCTGAAGGGGTGGTAGCCTTTGCTGAGAGCATAAAGCCTGCCAAGTTTCAAGAAGATCGGTGCAGGGGTTCAGGGGGAACTGCACCCTAAATTCTTGAAAGCCAAACTCATGTCATGTGTATGTTACACCACAGGGGGTGAAAACTGCAGGGGTGGTAGCAGTGACGAGTTAATTAGCAAGGATTAACACCTACAAAACCACAGACTAAGGAGAGGAAATAATACAGACAATCAACTGCCCCAAGACAGACAGTCAGTTGCACAAGCACCCATGTCACAAGTTTTTCCTGTCAGCAGCTAGAGGTGCAGGGCCCCAGAACCCAGAACCCCCCTGCACCGATCTTCTTGAAACTTGGCAGGCTTTGTGGCCGCAGCAGGGGCTAGCAGGGCTGCAGCTTTCACCTTGCTGCACCTTAACACACACAGTCACCCATGTTACGAGTTATGCTTGTCTGCAGCTTGAGGTGCAGTTCCCCCCAAATCCCTGCACCTATCTCCTTGAAACTTGGCAGGCTTTGTGGCCTCACCAGGGGCTACCACCCCTACCCTTCTCCACCCCCTGTGGTGTAACACATACACATGACATGAGTTTTGCTTTCAAGAATTTGGGGTGCAGTTCCCCCTGAATCCCTGCACCGATCTTCTTGAAACATCATGCTCTCAGCAGAGGCTACCATCCCTGCAAGTTTCATCCAAATCAGACAAAAAAACAACAAAATTATAGATATTTCATTGATTCCCCAATATACCCTATGGATGGATCTCCAAGCCAAATCAAAGCGGGAACCCAGTCCGGAGCTCCGGATTGGATCGCTGGCATCCGAAGTGGTCGGATCCAAAACTGGATCGAATAACTGCCGAGTCGCATGCCTAATAAATATACAGTTGCTGGATCCATTGGGCCCCCTAGTGTTGTATAGTGTAACTACAAAGACTTGTCTGACTAGGAAATTAAAAATTCAAAGGTCACTTGCCAGTCTTTACAGACTGGACTCTACTGCATTTTGTATGCTTTGTCCTGTTCTGTGAAGAGCCTGAAAATAATCAGTGTTGGCCATCTCAGAATTCCTTTGGGGAAAGCAAGTTGTCTGTTGGTGTGGAGTCAGCATGTTTTGCTCTGGTGAGGAGGGAATGGGGGATGTGGCCAGAGAGCACTGTGCTTAGGCTTTATTTGTGACCACTGTAGATTGGTGTATGTTGGAACAGCTGTTTGGCTTTTCCAATCTCTTGGGGCTGGGGCGGGTACATTTGTGCCTTGAGATTCAGGGAGGTCCAGATGGCTTGGGGATAGGACCTTTCAGCTCTCTTGCATCAATGGATCTTCACATAGAATAGAAAATAGGCTTATGGATGAAACATGCTTATATCCTGCTTAAATCCACAGTGGTTTTATGCAACCCAATAGAATGCCTTGTTCCGACTAACATGCACCTTACTGGCAAAGATGAAACTGTGAAGGGAAAAAAACTGAGAAACACTGGTTGGTGATCCTGAAAGGGTGAGAGAAAACACCAGAGTCTGAGTAGATTTCCCTCTTTTATTTTACAGGATTTTTATGTACAAGGCTACCTTCCTCCAAAACCTCAGCATCATGGTCAGTTCACAGCAAAAACTGCAGCTCATCTCTCAAAGCCTAGAAAAAAACTCCACAACAGCTCAGTACAACACAATGTACAAACTGTACAGGAACTAAAGAGGGGAAGGAAGGAAAAAGGACAGAAGGATGGAAGGAAAGCTGAAAGGAAGACAAAAAAGAAAATAAGAAAAAGAAAAGAACAGCCGCCCCCTTTATCTCTTCTGAATTATTTTCAACTAAGAAATGCAAGTCAAATGTTGTGCTTCAAAGGTCGTGATCACTACAAAATGGGTTCTTTTGAAGGGGGAAACACTTGCCCTTGACTTGCTTTCCCTTTCCCCTTAACACCCCCATGTAAAAACTGTATAAGAAGTCAGGTTTTGAGTGTTGCAGTAGAAACCAGGAGGCCTGCCGGACACTGGTCTAGCAGATCTCTATGATTCTGTTGGTTTCATCCTTCTGTTTTGGAGCTTGGTCAGGGAGAAGGCTTGGGCAGTTCTCTGGGGGCAAAGCACCAGATACATATGAAAGGGTGTCCAGTTTGAGTGGTTGAGATTCTTGGCTCCACCAGCCTCGGAAACTAGAAACTAGGAACAAGCCCATGAAAGAGGGAAGCTGTGAAATCACAATAGCTGGACATGCGAGAGGTCTGCTTAGACCTTGTATTACAGAATGTTTCCCTTGAGAAAACTGCACTATGTCTGCTGCTATCCTTTGTTCTTAGGGTTGTGAGTAGGTCAAGAGTAGTTTGAATGTGGGGATCGGGTAGGGACAGAATATTCCAGTTCCCTCATGCCCAGCACTCTTGGCACTAATCTTTACAAATCTTTTACATATAGGTGAGTTACAGCATCACTTGGACCCATCACAATACACTGCGATGTTGGATGCAGCCTTTGGTATAAGGAACAATTTCCTCCTTCCCCCACTCCCTGACCTGACCAAGGAAAACCAGAGTGAGGCTGAAGCAAGGGGACATGTGTGAACATTTTTCTATAGAGTATGGAGCTGTCCACTGAACACGGTATAGGTGTTGTGGTAGAGAGTAAGAGTTTGATCACATCCCTGAACTGTTTGACTTGTTGGTCCAGTAAAGGCTTTCACGTTACCCACCTCACAAAGACTGTTTGCTTGCCTTGTCTTTTTTAATCTATAGTCAGTCACATGTCTAGGAGACCAGATGTCTAGGATACCTGAAGATTGAAGGTGCTTTGTTTCTCTTGCTCAAAATCACTTGTTCTTCTGTACATGGCTTCCTTTCTGTCTCTTTTCATGCAGTTTCTAAGAGCCCAGCACACAGCAAGGGGCACGCTACACATTCCCTTACACATGGAAGTGACTGTGCACCCAAGGTGACTGTGACGGGATGAAAACCAAATAAGGAATGGGGAGCTCCTTGCATGCCCCATTCATGAACGTGATCATAAGTTTGAAACCATAGATTGTTCAGAGCAGGAGAGTCTTTTCCCACAGTTAATAAACATGCTGGTCCTGTGTATCACAGGAGCAAACATCTTTGCTCTCTTATTTTTCTTTCTCCCACCCCTAAGAAAAGCTCTAAAATGTCCCTGATTTGTTTGTCAATGCAGCCTCTGTCAGCATCTTGGCCGGTGAGGATCATGGTGTGTGTGGGGTGTGTCTGCTATCCATGCTGGCAGTAGGGCTCTGAATCCATTGGCGAGGGGAGTGGGGATCCATTTGGATGACTGGTTTTCTTTGTCTTTGCTTTACAGGTGGGTTGAAGATGTCAGTCTGTTTCTCCTTTTGAATGTCAGGCAGAGATGACAGCAGCACTGCATTTTATGCTCATCTGGCTCAACATACCATTACAGGGTTTAGCCTCATCCTTCCCTCACACCACTGCTCACTCCTGTTCTGAATAGGCTACTAGGAGAGAGGAAGGAAAGAAAAAGTGTCACTTTCCTTGAACCTCAAGCAGGTGGCTTAGGAGATGGTACTAAGGGTAAACCCAAGGCCCAGCTGAAAAGTCAGGTGTAGTGTTGGGAAAATTCACAAGGCTTGTAGAAAACAGCCTCTCCCAGAGCAGTTAAAAGCATGTAGAACCTGGGAACTTTTGCACAGAATCCATCAGGCAACTGTTTGGGACTTGAGTGGCATGTGAGCTGTGCTAGTTGTACCTGGTTACTGTAGGCTGGCATCCTCGACATCTGTGTAGTGACTGTTCTCCTGGAGGGGAAAAGAAACAAACAAACAAAAAATCAATGTTTCCTTCTCTTGAGCTGCTGCAACATGATGAGTTC